TATTTTCTTTATAAAACAGCATATGAACATGTTAAACTTCAGTTGTAAAACTTTTAGCCAATCCTCATCAAAGGTGTCAATTTCAGTACCATTTTATTACAATCACTGTATGTTTGTTTGTTTGTTTTTAATTATACACAAAGCTACACAAGGGCTATCTGTGCTCTGCCCATCATGAGTATCGAAACCCGGTTTCTATTGTTGTAAGTCCGCAGACATACCGCTGTGCCACTGGGGGGGGCCCAATCGCTGTATTTCACGTTTGATAAATCATGGGATGATAAGCAAAGCACATGACAAAACATTGTTCTCTGGATTTTACAATATGAACATGAAGGGTGCTTATTACAGTAACTGCCATTTTATGTAGAGGTTGTATTTAGTATTGGTCAATAGTTTTTTTTTTTATATAAGCCTTAGAAAATTTGCTTCTGGAAAAAACTGCATGGGATGTACGTGACTTTTATTATTTTTCTATAGTATCTTAACTCATGCTGTATCAATAAATATATTTATATTAATCATTATATTGAAAAATTAACTCAAAATAGATATATTTTTAGGAAAGAAGTTGATCCACAAATGTTAGGGTTAAGATCTATCGATTGGCAAGTGCATGGTCTTTATGTGAATTAGGCTTAGCAATTTAAACTGAAAGAGTTTGTGATGTTTTATATTCTTTTACATTTAAATTATTAGTTTTAAGTTCAATAATTTATAATCACTAATAATTCTATCTTCATGACCATAGTTGAGGTAAACATGATCACAACAATTACCAGTGTTGTAACTTATTAATGCTACAATTAGGTTTTACAAAAACTTGTACCACTGTTATACAAAAGTGTAATTAAAAATTAAACTCACCTCATCAAAAATATCACAGACACGATATGGAGGGCCTCGCTCAGAGACAAAACTATTGAAAAACATGCAGTCCAACACTTTTCTTACAAAGTCACAGTCCAGAAAGTTTCTTTGCCCTAAAAATGCTGCCTAGAAAAAAAAAATTACACTGATAAATGAGCCAAGATTTATATTTTGTAAAAGTTACAATTTTCAAACTATTTTTTGTAATCTATTTAAGCTGAGTGAATATTTGAAGTAGAACTACCACAAGTCAACATTAATATTACTATGTTACAAGTTTTCACTTTCACGATCTTTTCTTACCTTGTGAAAAGTGATAATTGGTTTAGGGTGGATTCTGGTAATTGTGAGACAAGAACGGTAGCCTTGTAAAAGTTGAGCAAACATCCGAAGAAAAATTGCTCTGATCTCTTTATCCTGGAATGCAGAAAAAAAAAACAATTTATAAAATAAACCTTAACAGTTTTTGGAGTTGTATTTATGAAAGATATAAGATAAAATCAATATTTAAATTATTTTCTACTTGATAAATTTTACGCTAACATATCCTCAGATGCTCTATGACCAACAAGCTCACAGAACTGTTTCCATTAGACACCTTTGTTAGCCCCTACAGATGTTTTGTCTAGTCATTTTCCCATGAAGCCATAAATTACAGATTAAACCAATTTACTTACCATACATATAACCTGCTCTAACCAATCTTACTTAAACATTGCTTAAAGCTATTTTTAAGACTGGGTTTCATTAGTAATGCACGTACCAATCCTGTTACATCATAAAAGGGTATGAATGAAGGACTATGGCAATAAAAACAACAACAGAATAGGAAAAAATAATGGCATGGATAATTATATTATTAAGAAATGGTAGTTCCTTAGCAATGGGTAATTATATTATCAAGGAATGATATTTTCTTAGCAAATACAAACCTATAATTTAGGATGAGCAGAAAACTATACAAAAAGTGACATGTTATTTACAAATACACTAAATAAGTGTTGCAAAATAACAATATATCAATTATAAAATAATTGTTGAAGTAGTTAGAATTATTATTTCTGGTTAAATTTTGAGGTTTCATACACATGTTTGCACTTGACACCTGAAAGGTGCTAACAGGTTTAATATTAAATTTTAGTTGATTTTGCAGTTTATAATAGATGAAGTAATTAGTTAACAATCCTATCATTAAAAAACAACACAATTTATTTTCTTATGAATATAAACTACTTGTATACCAATGATATACTACTCTATTACAAAAAAAAAATGTCTGCGTACAATTTGTATATTGTACAGTGGTGACATTTACAAAACTGATTTCCAGAATTTACTATCATGGCACCAGGACCTTAAATCTCTTATTCAAAATCATCTTATTTTTAGCAATTTCTAATTATTCTCTTATATTTAATTCATTTTTTGAATTTACTTCTTTAAGTATTAGTACACTGTACTAATTAATATTGTGTGAAGAGTTTGTTCCACCAAGATCGAATCACTGGTTTTTAATTTATCAACAGCATTTTTTATGTTCTTTAATTCAAAACTTACAATTTCTACTTGTCTACCTGATATAACTTAAACCACAACTACAAGAAATTTTATATATTCCACATCTATCCTTTACTTCAATTTTATCTTTAACATCATTAATGATATTAATTAATTTTAATTGATGACTAAAGGTTATTTGACAACTCATATTTTTCATGAACATGTTACCTGTTTTTTGTTGACAATGATGGAACATATGGCAAAAATATTCTTTCCATATTTACCTTACTTTAATTTGTCTTTAATTTGGTACATTTAAAAAATTTTAATTTTTACAATGTTTTTATAGATCCCATCTATAACGTCAAGTTCGTAATCTCTATCAATTGCTTTACAATTTAAATAATTCAATTCTAAAATCAGATCTTCATTACATGAAGACATTATTGACCCTACGAACAAAAGACAAAAATGAGGAAATTTTTTGTGATAATGGGTGACACGATCCTGCATGTAGCAGCATGGCAACTGAGAATGGCTTCCTGTATACAGAAATAGACAGAAAGTCATCCTCTCTTTTCACAGAAACATCCAAAAAATTCAAACAACCCTCTTCTTCGACTTCTAAAGTGAATTATATTGTGGGGCTGATAGAATTAAGATGTTTCTGAAAATCACTTAATGTGTCATTGCCTACATAGAAGACAACTTACCCAACTATAGTTTTTAATGAAATGCAACAAATATTATGTTGTACCTAATAGTATAAAAGTATTTACAAAATAACAGGGTAAAAAATACAGCTTAAAATTTATAGAAGTATTATGCAGAACAAAATGAGTGAAACTGCAAAAACTGAGGCTAAACTATACTATTATACATTTAACATTAGCTAAGAATATACAGAAGTCATGGGATACATTTGAAGCATCTAGTTCATGGAAATGGGAAAAGGTAAGATTGAAACATAAGAATACTTTGGAAAACAAACTGAATAACTTAACTAACCCTCATCAGTATACCTTTGAAAAGTTACACTGTGGAACACCTGGGGTCCAAATGGACCCCAGCATAAAATTACCGTTACAGTAGGTTCTGGATTGAAATTCCAAAAACCAATTGCATTATAACATTTATTAGACTTAGTATGCAATATGAACAACATAAAAAATATATATATTCTAGTAGAAATACGTTGACAAATCAAGAAATTACAAAATTACATTGTTCCTCAGTATACAAATAAGTAGTATTAACCATTCCTTATACAAACAGTGTATCAAAAAATGCAACAGTTTTATTATATTCCTATATTCAAGTCATTATCCCCCAATATATGATGATATTACCACAATACTGCAAAATACAACTCAAAGAAAACTGAAAGTGTAACATTGTGGGTCACCTTGGGTCCAACCAAACCCCAACACAAATGTAACTTTATAGAAGGCTATGGATTAAAAATCCAATAAGCAGGTTATTTACAACAATTATCAAACAAGGTTTCTATAAAATAGGGCATTATAAGCAGTCATCCCAGAGAACACTTATTGAGGAATGAGATGCACATACATACTTACCACAATGGTTATAAGCAAACAGACCAGATGACACTGTACTACTTTAATGGATTATCCTCTATAACAGCCTATATAGTGAAATAAACATTTCAAAATTTGTTTTGCATGATATAGGACAAACTGCATGTATAGTGATGGTCAATGATGGTATGGGGTCCACATGGACACCAGATACATATTAGATTATAGCTATGTACTCCATCTGCCTGCTTTAAAAACAATAGTGTCATATTGATTGAGGGTTTCTGTTTGACAATTATATGAACTGATATAAAATTGTAATGATTATGTAAAAAGATATACAACCGAGAAAGTTGTTGGAGTCCATGTGGACCTCAGATGTGCTCATGAGGATTAATAAAGATGTATATTCTAAAAGTAACTTGTAAGATACTAATATCGTACCAAATGAAAAGTATACTAGACTTCTGAATAATTTTAAATTAGTAAACCTGTCCAAAGAAAATATTACAACACAGCAAGTCAAAGTTCTTGAGCTGGGTTGGAATTTTTTTATAGATAACAAAATGTCCACGAAAGAAGATTTAATTATATCAGCTGAAACAACTTAAAGTTGATGATAATATTATAAAGGATACTGTTTGGACAACAGTAGCAAAATTACTTACTTGTAATACAAAAAATCAAAAAGTAACTTGTATAATTATGAGGTAAACCAACTCTGACTAATTAGAAATAATAACGTAATTTATAAAGCAGATGAAGGAGGACAAGTTGTTATATTTGACAAAATCAATTATTAGGATAATATTAGAAACCTTTTAAATGATGCTTCATATAATAAAATATGGAAAGACCCTACAAATATAATAAAGTGGTTTGTTTGTTTTTGTTTCTGAATTTCGCGCAAAGCTACACGAGGGCTATCTGCACTAGCCGCCCTAATTTAGCAGTGAAAGACTAGAGGGAAGGCAGCTAGTCATCACCACCCACCGCCAATTCTTGGGCTACTCTCTTACCAACAAATAATGGGATTGACCGTCACATTATAACGCTCCCACGGCTGAAAGGGCGAGCACGTTTGGTGTGACGGGGATTCGAACCCATGACCCTCAGATTGCGAATCGAGCTCCCTAACCACCTGGCCATGCCGGGCCCAATAAAGTGTTGAAGTAAAAACAGTTGTAAAAACCTGTACTACCTTAACAATGAGTGAATGAAATAATCTTATGCTATCCAAATTTATTTTACCTCATTATTATGCCCTCCCAAAGGTTCATAAAACTGGAATACCATTTCACTGAATTGTTGATAACAGATGATCATCAACATATTTATTCTATAACTTCATTGTTAAAAAAGGTTCTTTTTTAACAAATTCTCATGCATTTATAGTTAATAATTCATCTGAATATGTTAATAAGATTAAGAATATTAATATAGAAGAAAATGAGCAATTAATTTTTATTCTTGTAGTATCATTGTTTACAAATGTACCAATAGAAAAAGTATTATGTTATTTTGAAAATAGGTTACTAGCCAGTAAATGTTTTTCCCACCAAAAATACATGATATTATCAATTTAATAAAGCTGTGTTTAACTAATAGTTATTTTAAGGTTGGTAATGAAATATACAAGAATAATCTAGTTTTGTCCATGGGGGTCACCTTCATCACCTCTGTTAGCAGGAATTTTCATGTTTGATGTTGAAACCCAGGTGCTAGAAACATCAGTGAAAAAAAACCTGAGGTGTGAATAAGATATGTAGATGACACATTGCTTGTGTGGCAACATGACAATGACATGTTAATTGATTTTAAGAAACATCTAAATTCTATCAACCTCACAATATAATTTACATTAGAAGTTGAAAAAAGAGAGTTGTTTGAATTTTCTGGATGTTTCTGTAAAAAAGAGAGGATGGCTTTCTGTATACATGCAACATTGTGTCACCCATTATCACAAAAAATGTCCTCATTTTCATCTTTTGTTTATTGGACTGTTAATTTAATGAAGATCTAATGTTAGAAATCAATTACTTAAAATATATAGCAACTAACAGAGGTTATGAACCTGATATTATAGACGGGATGCATAAAAACTTATTAATAAATTACAAATTTCTAAATGCATCAAATTAAAGACAATACGGTAAATAAAGAAAAAATATGTTTGCCATTTGTTCCATCATTGTCAACAAAAACGGGTACTGTGTTCATGGAAAATATGAGTTGTCAAATAACCTTTAGTCATCAATTAAAAATTACTTAATATTGTTAATGGTGTGAAAAATAAAACTGAAGTAAAGGATAGATGTGGAATATATAAAATTTCTTGTAGTTGTGATTTAAGTTATATCAGATAGACAAGTAGAATTAAAGAACATAAAAATATTGTTCATAAATTAAAAACTAGAGATTTGGTCTTTAGCTAACTGTTCACATAGTATTGATTAGGACAGTGTACAAATACTTAAAATCAAAAATGAATTTGTACATATATATTTACTTGAATATATAGATGAAATTTCCTGTGTTTTTCTTGATGGTGAAGCATATTCAACTGAAACAAGTAGAACTTTCTAGTTTTATATTGCTTTTAACTATTTAAGAAATTATTGTGCACTTTAAAAACTTTGGAGTTATCAACAGATTTTATGAAACTGTGTACAAGAACTATTTGTCGAATATATTGAACAAAATATTTATTGCAGATTTATATTTAGAATTTTTCTTTACTTTAAAAACAAACAGTCCTTGTTTATGAAAGATTAATTACTGATATTGGGAAAAATGAGTGAATGAGCAAACAACATATTAAAATTCTTTTAGTACTGGAATATACAAAAAAGTGATTTAATTAAATACCAAAGAGTTATCAAAACTTGGTATTTTGCTTTTTAATTATAACTAAACGATAAATTGGGGAGTATTTTTACAAGAAAAAGAACAATATTTAAATCACCAGAATATTTGGTAAAGAGGTTTTCTGCTGTTGTGGAGGAAAGGCATCGTCAGCCGATAATAGTTCTGGCCGTAATACCTGTAAATACAATACCAAAAGATCTATATGCAGTTCACTGAATGATGCAAAACACAAAAAATATAGATCTGTTACAATAATATTTCAAACAACATATTCTTTCTTCAACACATGCTGTAGGATATTAATCATGTAGCTAATTATTCATTTAAAAGATATAATACATACATTAATAACTGCTTATAAGGCCTTTTATCACAACTATGATTATCACAGTTAATAAAAATTCCACATATTTTTAAAATTTAAAAGAAACTAAAATAGTAAATAAGACAATAAATTCAACAAATCTGGATTCCACTATAAAATGCATTACCAAAAATTAAATGCTGGTAAAAAATTTTAATGCATAAATAATTATTGTTTTCAACTCAGTGTGATCACTACCCTTAAAGGTTCTGCTTGGAAGAACTTAACATTACACATGTTATTAAAGACATTAAAATCAAAATTAAATTTTATCCAACTAATTCAACTATATTGAAAACCTACCATACATAGTTGTGTTTCCAACTGAGAATTTAGTGGTTCTGGTAATATTGGCACTGAAATGCATTCCGGGATAGTAACAGATCCACCATCAAGATCCACAACTATCACGTCTAACTAAGAATATATCATCAAAAATACTGTTCATGTCAAAAGCACCCAGTTGCTCGAAACATTAAATGGAAATAAAATGACACCCTCACTCAGAATTTGAACAGCTACAAAGTTACCTATGGAATATTACTAAACTAATAAAGTTAAATTGAAATTTAATAAGACCTTATTAAATTGTAAATTTCATATCTACATTACTCAGGAAATAGAAATTTCCACTAAATACAATAAAATAAAACATATGCATTTGAATCAATGTCAAACAAGTAAAATTACATTTACTGACTTCTTGTTTTCATATACAGATAAAGTGTAGAATTTCACAATAAACAAGGGAATGATCATCAAAGATACAATAGTAAAATATTAACCAATTTTCCATCACTAATAAGTGCTTCAATAACATCAAAATACAAAACAATTCCTATTTAAAAATAACAGATAAATATGGTTCCTGCAATTTTATTAATCAAAATCAATATCAATATTGCTTTTTTCAAGAAAAACACTCAAATCAAAAACAAAGTTTTTGGAAATAAAGCAATTTCAACACTAGGCTTCACTGTCTTTGAATTCATAATATTTAATAATCCATAAAAAATATGCATTACTGAACCATGAAATCAAACAAGTCTATTGTAATTTCAATCAACATTTAAAAAAAAAAAATCTTCATTAAGATAATACGATCATCCAGTCATACTAAGTAATGAGTAACACACTCAAAGACTGGTGACTGATAATTTCCAAAACATTGCAAATACATTCTTCAAATTAAATCTTGATGCATGCTAAAATAACACAAACACACATACATTAAAATTGAATTTATTATAATTCAAGACATTAACATTCACGAACCAATCACAGGCACACTGATTTCATTTCTCGAGCATGTAGCTTGAATAGACAATATGAGCAGTAGAAACTGCCAAATAAACAGCACACTACACAGACGTTAAAGTGACACTGCAGTGCCTACAGATTTCTGTGTGATAGGACTGTGAAACAAGTGCTGGAGAATTGTTGTACTCTGCACACAATACACACATTAAAGTGACACTGCAGTGCCTACAGATTTCTGTGTGATAGGACTGTGAAACAAGTGCTGGGGAATTGTTGTACTCTGCACACTATACAGACATTAAAGTGACACAGCAGTGCCTACAGATTTCTGTGTGATAGGACTGTGAAACAAGTGCTGGGGAATTGTTGTACTCTGCACACTATACAGACATTAAAGTGACACAGCAGTGCCTACAGATTTCTGTGTGATAGGACTGTGAAACAAGTGCTGCGGAATTGTTGTACTCTGCACACTATACAGACATTAAAGTGACACTG